CTACTGTATATGAATAATCAATGGATTTGATAAGCAGACTTTTTAGAATTTGTTGTTAGTAAACTGCTATCCCAGATAAAACAGGAGGACTTACAAATGATCATCAGCATTTGCCAAAAATACACTAAATGACTTCTGGCTGTTGTCAGCAAAGCTGACAGAGCACAAGGTTTCATAGCTGGAAATTTCTAACACAAAACACTAGAAACAGTGTTGACACAGTGCATTTGTCATAACTTGAATATGCTATCTGGTTTTCCTCTTAGCATGTTTAAAACAAATAATCTAGAAAAGGTGCAGTGAAAGGCAAAGGTATCAAAGTTCAAATCTTCATTATGAAACAAACCCTGTGAAGAAACTTTAAAACATTCCACCTGTTCTCTCTCAGGAACTGAAGACTGCAAGGGAATCTAATTTAATCCTCTAAAATACCTGTGATATACCTGTAATTGTTTTGAGAGTTTTCCTACTCCCACATCCTAGCCTGGGGCCAGACTTTTTTCTTGTTTGCCTGGTCAATGAGGCTGTTACTGTTCAGGGTCTGCTGGCCTACATATCCATCACAACCTTAGAGGTAGCAATCTAGTTTTCTCTTGAAGGCTTCTACACTTGTTCTAGCAGTATTTCTGATAGCTGCTGGTAGCAGGTAGAATACATAGTGGCCCAAGGAGGTTAAAACTGTTCCCTTATTGTTTCCATGGTGCCCTTGCTTTTCTATGAATATATTTTAAACTTCTTCCACATCTCTCACTTTGGTACATTATGGTAGTGTGTAGTTTAGTAACTAGCCCCTCAAGTATCTTCTGTGTATAAATTATCCTGAATCTCTCGCCTCCACTTAACCCTTTCAGGGTCCGTCCCGTAGATCTACGGCTTTACGTTCAGGGTCCAAACCGTAGATCTATGCCATGAGCTCAGCTCACTCTGATAAACTGTGAGTGGTACATTTGGGCCTAGATATGAGAGAATACATCTGTGTATAATGAGAGAAAAAAAATGAAATCATGATTTTTCGATTAAAACAGCAACTTTGCAGTGTTTTTTCGTATGTTTTTTATAGTTGTATTTGCGATTTCTTGGTCTCATTTGTAGAAGGGAAGACTATTACGAAATAGAGTGTTTTTTGTTTGGTTTTAGCCTGGAAAGGGTTGAAAAGAGCTCAAGTGCAGAAATGAAAAATTTTTTCCCGATTTTCAAGAGTAAAAAAACGACCTCCCGTCAAATACCTCAGCTGGGGGGAAAATAACATTCACAAATATGGGATGTATTTATAATTTTTCAGTTTTTGCATAACATAAATCTTCTTTTTTTTGGGTGTGAATAAAAATTATTTGTGAAAAAAAAATAAAAGGGAAATTTTATTTGTAAAGCCTCAAAAATAATAAGAACAGAAAAAAAGTTAGTTTTTGCCAGGAATGCCACTTGTTATTCTGGACCCTTTTTAAAATTTGGAATTTTTGAATTTTGTTTTTAAATTGGCCAAATTAAAAATTTTCCGATCACTTTTTTTTAGTTAAAACAGTTGACTTGTGATTTTTTGTGCTAAATCGATAGAATAAAGTAATACTATGAAATAGCAAAAATTTGGGTTGATGGAATAAGTTTTGGGCCCAAAATGGGAGTCAAAGTGGCAAAATCGCATTCGTAAATATCGCTGACACATCAAATTGTGAGGAGCTAATTTGTCATTTTCCCCCCAAATTTTCGTACTTTTTTTTTATTCCTTCACAAAAAGTTCTCTACGATTTAAAAGAAAAAATAAAAAATTTTTTTTTTTTTGAAAATTCGGGGACACTGGTGGTGACCCCAGTTTTGGGGCCTTGGCCCCAAAAGGGGTTTAAGGAAGGTTCCTAATTATTAGGAATGCTCCTTTGGCTTTTGTAAAAAAAATTTTGAAACCCTTAAACATGAAAAAGTATTTGGTGTATGAAGGGATTCAACAGGAAAAAATACGGGATGAAGCTTTATTGCTACTTTTGTGAAGTGGGACTGAGGGGGGGTTTTGAGCTTGTGTAAGGTCACGTCTAGACCATGGTATTGTGCGGCCGCGATGACTAAATTCAGGCTCATGTTCATTTATATATTGCACTGCGTGTACTATTTTTTAGTTGAGTTAGTACTTGCAGTAGCGCGGCTCCCCAAAAAATGTTTTAACCGAATGGCTCTTTTGCAAAAATTATGAATAACAGGGTCAGACACTTGTCTCTAGTGTTTGGGAAATCTGTTTTGGGAGCAGAGTGTTTGGGGAATGTTTTTTTTGGAAAATAGTGAGAAATTAATGATGTATTGGGAATAGAAATTTTAGATCGTCTTACCAAAACTTTCCCTATTGCACAAATTTTTTTCCATTTGGCCCATGGCCAGGCTCCGAGAGTAGTTAAACTTCAAAAAAATCTTCAAAGGTTTAAAATTTTAGTAGTTGATTTAATTTTTTAATGCATTTTATTTAATCAACTTTTTTGTACATTTTTAAGGGATTAAATTATTTTTCAGTTAATTGTTTGATATTTTTTTAAAAACATTCTTTTCGTTTCTTTACAGGTGGAACGAGCTCGATACAAGAATGAAATTTTTATTGGTTGTTTCTAACCCCACAATAATTGTTTTTACCGGATACTCATGGAAAGACACATAAAAAATCATGAGGTTTATTAAAAAAAAAAATTCTCGAAGGGTTTGTGCAATATTTAAGAAATATTTTTTTAATGCTTAAAATTTGTAATTTTTAAAAACTAATTCTTTTTTTTAAAAATTTAAGTTAAGTTGGGTTATCAGAACAATGTTCGTAGTACAGGGATGTGTCAGTTGATATGATGGCTGAGACATGTAAATTAATTGGAAGTTAAGAGATGGTATGAAGAGATGGGCCCCTTACCCCAAATAAATTTGATTTGGTAATTTAATTACAATTTGGTAATTACATTAGCCTTTACTTCTGGTGCAATTCCATCAATAAACATGTAAAGTAACCTTGGAAACATTACACATACCATACATTGATAAGCATTGCCTTTGTTAAAGCCATACCTAGCTAAACAAATCAAAATAAACCTGAGAAGTGTGCATCTAGACTGATGCTTTAGCTGAGATGACTGAACTATGAGGAAACACTGACCGAGCTAATCTGTCACCATAGGAATGCAGAACTAAAACGGAATATCGTCAAAATATATAAAACATATTCATTCATAGACAAGGTACACAAGGGCAGTTTCTTGACCAGTGAAGGCTCCATAACAAAGGAACAGTAAAGAAAATGTTACCCTAGATAGGAAATGCCTCTTTAATGTAAGTGCAGTAAATAAATGGAAAGAGCTAGATAGTGAATCTATACATGGTTAAAGGAAATAAAATACAATTTAATTCATTCCGGTCTGTCATAAATTTAAGATGTAGGAATCTTGTTTTCCCGATAACCTTTTTATTGACATATGGCTATTCCCTGTTTTTGACTGGCAACAGATTCTAGCATTTTATCTATTAATGTTTTTTTTTTATTTTATTTTTTATTAACATATTGGCCGTTTCCCACCTAGGTAGGGTGGCCCGAAAAAGAAAAACTTTCATCATCATTCACTCCATCACTGTCTTGCCAGAGGCATGCTTACACTACAGTTATAAAACTGCAACACTAACACCCCTCCTTCAGAGTGCTGGCTCTGTACTTCCCATCTCCAGGAATCAAGTCCGGCCTGCCGGTTTCCCTGAATCCCTTCATAAACGTTACCTTGCTTACACTCCAACAGCACGTCAAGTCCTAAAAACCATTTGTCTCCATTTGCTCCTATCTAACACACTCACGCACGCTTGCTGGAAGTCCAAGCCCCTTGCACACAAAACCTCCTTTACCCCCTCCCTCCAACCTTTCCTAGACTGACTCCTACCCCACCTTCCCTCCACTATAGGTTTATACACTCGAAGTCATTCTATTTTGTTCCACCCTCTCTGCATGTCCAAACGATCTCAATAACCCCTCCCCAGCCCTCTGGATAATAGTTTTGGTAATCCTGCACCTCCTCCTAATCTCCAAACTACGGATTCTCTGCATTATATTCACGCCACGCATTGCCGTCAGACATGACATCTCCACTACCTCCAGCCATCTCCTTGTTGTAACATTCACCACCTATGCCTCACACTCATACAAGAGCATTGGTATAACTATACTCTCATACAGTCCCCTCTTTGCTTTCATGGACAAAGTTCTTTGTCTCCACAGACTCCTCAGTGCACCGCTCACCTGTTTTTTTCCTCATCGATTCGATGATTCACCTGATCTTTCATAGACCCATCTGCTGACAGATCCACTCCCAAATATTTGAATTCATTCACCTCCTCCATACTCCCTCCAATCTGATATCCAATCTCCCGCTACCTAAATTTTTGGTTAGCCTCATCACCTTACTCTTTCCTACATTCACTTTTAATTTCCTTCTTTTACTTACCCTACCAAACTCATCAACCAACCTCTGCAACTTCTCTTCAGAATCTCCCAAAAGCACAGTGTCATCAGCAAAGAGCAACTGTGACAAGTCCCCCACTTTGTTAGGTTCTTTATCTTTTAACCCCACACCTCTTGCCAACACCCATGCATTCACTCTCTTACAACTTCATCTATAAATATATTGAATAACCATGGTGACATCACACATCCCTGTCTAAGGCCTACTTTTACTGGGAAATAATCTCCCTCTTGCCTGCATACTCTAACCTAAGCCTCACTACTTTCAGTAACCTACCTCCTATTCCATACGTATGCAACATCTGCCACATTGCCCCCCAATCCACCCTATCATATGCCTTTTCCCAATCCATAAATACCATAAAAACCTCTTTACCCTTATCTAAATACTGTTCACCTATATGTTTCACTGTGGCAATGAAAGTCAACTTGATTATATCAAGCATACTTTGCTATTGCATTTTTAATCCTGCTCATAAGTTAGTGTGAGCCTAGGAGTTCTTTTCTGAATATAAAATTGAGTAATGCTTTTACACAGATGCCGTGGAAGCAAGACAACGTGGAGACTGAAGCATCGACAATAATTGCAGTCCCTGAGCCGTATGGTGGAGCCATCATTATTGGGCAGGAAACAATCACATATCTGACAGGCACCTCACATGTTACTGTTGCTCCAGCACTTATCAAGGTATATTTACTGTAGATGTATGTAGTACGTTGGTAGACAACAACCACTCAGGGAGGTACTACCATCCTACCATGTGAGTGTAAAACAGAAGCTTGTAGTATTTGTTTTACATGTTGGTAGGATTGCTTGTGGCTTTTTTTTTTTCTGTCTCATACACATACAAGGTTTCAGGTACGTCTTGCTACTTCTACTTACACTTAGGTCACACTACACATACATGTACAAGCATATATATACACACCCCTCTGGGTTTTCTTCTATTTTCTTTCTAGTTCTTGTTCTTGTTTATTTCCTCTTACCTCCATGGGGAAGTGGAACAGAATTCTTCCTCCATAAGCCATGCGTGTTGTAAGAGGCGACTAAAATGCCAGGAGCAAGGGTCTAGTAACCCCTTCTGTATACAGCAGGGCCCCGCTTTACGGTGTTTCACTTTACGGCGTTCCGCTAATACGGTCATTTCAAATTATGACCAAAACTCGCTATACGGCTCCCCCCACCTGACTTTCTAATATAGTCACCGCGCCCCACCCTGTTTGTTTACATTCTTCGTGAGCTCAGTAAGCACTAAGTCTCTCCATTTTGTCTGGAAACTCCAAAATTTCAAATACTTATGTATACCCGTACTTAAATAAACTTACATACTGTGCTGGCATGCAGGTACACATTAAAATCAGTAAGAGTGTCTTATGTCTCCAGACGTCATATTAGTAATGATAATAATAATCATCGAGTCTCATTTAAATGTCGTATATTACGTTAAATACACATTTTCATTAATCCCTATGATATTTTTTCAAAATTATATAATAAACACAATACATAACATAAAAAGATGATAAATACACCCCACAATAGAATAAATAAACATAAATATGAGATGTGGTAGCAGACGACTTGCACAAGTGACGCCATATTAGAAATGATAATAATAATAATAGTAATAATCACCGAGTCTCATTAAATGTTGTATATTACGTTAATATACACATTTTTATTAATCCATCCATGATTTTTTTTTTCAAAATTATATAATAAACACGATACATAACATAAAAAGATGATAAATACACCCCACAATAGAATAAATAAACATAAATATGAGATGTGGTAGCTAGATAACTTGTACAAGTGATGCCAAGAATAACATTTTCTCTAATCTAACATAAGAGAAAATGTGTTACTGGGGGTAACTGTAGAAAATTATTCCTTTTGTATGTATGTAAGTAAGTTTATTCAGGTATACACAAATACAGTTACATAGATTATCATACATAACAACAAATGTGTAGAGAACCTAGGATAACCCAAAAAAGTCAGAGTGACTTATTTCCATTGCCTTCACTCAGAGCATCATTTCTTCTCAAAATGATGTTACATGAGAATGGGAGTGTTCTTCTTTATTTATTCTACCGTATCAATGTAGAGACAACCTGTACACAATGTAACTTGTACACAAACCAGACGTGTACGCTTTGTTTACAAAACTTACCTTCGCCTGGTTTGTTTACATAACTCTGTGCCTGTACTCTCTCATGCACTCTTTCTTTCTCTCTCTCATTTATTCGTTTTATCTCATTTACTTACTCCTGACCCTACATTAAGACTACAAATATTTTAAGGTAAGTAATGAGTGAACTGTATATACATTTTATTGCTCTGGGATGCTTAAATGTAATAAAATATTATGTGTAGGTGGGTTGGCCTGGTATGGTAGCCCGGCTGACTACCATACATACCACACTTGATTTTTTACAATAAATACTACTCATCTCACCCTATATTTTAAGGTAAGTAATGAGTGAACTGTATATACATTTTATCGCTCTGGGATGCTTAAATATCGTAGAATTGTATGTGTGGGTGGGGTGGCCTGGTATGGTAGCCTGGCTGACTACCATACATACCACACTTGATTTCTTACAATAAATACTACTTGTCTCACCCTAGATTAAGACTATAAATATTTTAAGGTAAGTAATGAGTGCACTATGTATGTATTGTACTTTTTTATTGTTTTTCGATGCCTGGTTCTGTTGCTAACTTAATATATGTTAGTGTAAACTTGTTATCTAGTGTTTGTATGCATTTGTAAATGGAAAAAAAAGGGTGTTCCACTTTACGGCGGTTTCTGCTTTACGGCGGTAGCCTGGAACCTAACCAGCCGTATAAGTGGGGCCCTACTGTATATTACTAAATGTAAAAGGAGAAACTTTAGTTTTTTCTTTTGGGCCACCCTGCCTCGGTGGGATATGGCTGGTGCGTCGAAAGAAAGAAACAGAAGATTTCAAGTACATGTTGCTACTTCTGCTTACACTTAGGTCACATTATACATGCATGTACACGTTTATGTATACACACTCGTCTGAGTTTTCTTTGATTTTATCTTAATAGTTCTTGTTCTTATTGTTTTTCCTTTCATATCCATGGGGAAGTGGAATAAGAATCTTTCTTCCGTAAGCCATGCATGTTGTAAAAGTCAACTAAAATGCCTGGAGCAGCGAGCTAGTAACCCCTTTTCCCGTATAACATACTATTAAGAAAAAGAAAATTGTCAAAGTGGGATGTTTGAATGTGTGTGGTTGTTGTGCGAATGATAAGAAAGAGATGATTGTGAATGAAAAGAAGCTGGATGCCCTGGCTTTAAGTGAAACAAAGCTGAAGGGGGTAGGAGAGTTTCAGTGGGGAGAAATAAATGGGATTAGGTCAGGGGTTTCTAATAGAGCTAAGGAAGGAGTAACAATAATGTTGAAGGATAAGTTATGGCAGGATAAAAAGGAATATAAATGTATAAATTCAAGGATTATGTGGAGTAAAATAAGGGTTGGATATGAGAAGTGGGTTACAGTAAGTGTTTATGTACCTGGGGAAGAGAGAAGTGTGGAAGAGAGATTTTGGGAAATGTTGAGTGAGTGCATGGGGAGTTTTGAATCAAGTGAGAGAGTACTTGTGGTTGGGGATCTTAATGCTGAAGTGGGTAAAAATGTTGTGGAGGGAGTAGTAGGTAAATTTAGGGTACCAGGGATAAATGAAAATGGGGAGCCTTTAATTGAATTGTGTGTAGAAAGAGGTTAGGTAATAAGTAATACATATTTTATGAAAAAGAAGAAAAATAGTAAAGTAGAGTAAAGTTTATCAGTTTGTAAAGGTTACAACGTGTAATTACAATTTTGATTTGCTGAGTACAAAGATAGCCACTATCATGCCGAGGCATTTCGGGCAAACTAATCCTAATACATAGTAACTAATTAAAACTAGATAAGATAATAGTACATAGTAACTGTACTTAAAACTAGATGAGTAATAGTGGTTAGCTGTTTTACAATCTTATTTAAACTTAATACAATCTTATTTAAACTTAGTACAAGTGAGTAGGGTTCGGTAAAGTAAGCTTGAAATTGCACACAAAATCTACCTTACAGGTAATGGTGCAGGTGGTAATATTTTATGGAATGACAGAATTAAAAGCCAGGAGGTCACATAATAAGACTAATTAGCAGATGTTTTGGTAGATTTGGTTAATATTGAGAAAGATGATTTTATGGATTGGTTGAATTAAGACCCTAGAGGTCACATAAATAAAACTAGTTAGCAGATGTTTGGTTGATTTGGTTAATATTATGAGATAAGATGATTTTTTAGCAGAGTCCTAAATTTATAAGCTGTCAGGGGATCCTTGACCTGTTCCGGTAGTGAGTTCCAGATCTTTAGGCCTTTTATGTGCATAGCATTCTTGCATAGTGCGAGTCTGACTCGAGGGATGTTGAAAAGTGCCTTATGCCTTGTATTGTGGCTGTGCATTTTGTTGTAACTGTCAAGGAGTAGTTTTAGGGGAGGGTTTACAGTGGAGTTTAATGTTCTGTATATATAGTAGGCACAATAATAAGAGTGTATATCTTAATAGTTCTTGGTCTTATTACTTTTCCTTTTATATCCATGGGGAAGTGGAATAAGAATCTTTCCTCCGTAAGCCATGCGTTTTGTAAAAGTCAATTAAAATGCCGGGAACAGTGGGCTAGTAACCCCTTTTCCTGTAAAGATTACTAAAAAGAATAAGAAGAAGAAAATTGTCAAAGTGGGAAGTCTGAATGTGCGTGGATGTTGTGCAAATGATAAGAAAGAGATGATTGTGGATGTTATGAATGAGAAGAAACTGGATGTCCTGGCTTTAAGTGAAACAAAGCTGAAGGGGGTGGGAGAGTTTCAATGGAGAGGAATAAATGGGATTAGGTCAGGGGTTTCAAATAGAGTTAGAGCTAAAGAAGGAGTAGCGATAATGTTGAAGGATAAGCTATGGCAGGAAAAGAGGGACTACAAATGCATAAATTCAAGGATTATGTGGAGTAAAATAAAGATTGGATGTGAAAAAGTGGGTTATAGTAAGCGTGTATGCACCTGGAGGAGAGAGAGAGAGAGATTCTGGGAAATGTTGAGTGAATGCGTGGGGAGTTTTGAATCAAGTGTGAGAGTAATGGTGGTTGGGGATTTCAATGCTAAAGTGGGTAAAAATGTTATGGAGGGAGTAGTAGGTAAATTTGGGGTGCCAGAGGTAAATGTAAATGGGGAGCCTTTAATTGAGCTATGTGTAGAAAGAAATTTGGTAATAAGTAATACATATTTTATGAAAAAGAGGATAAATAAATATACAAGGTATGATGTAGCACGTAATGAAAGTAGTTTGTTAGATTATGTATTGGTGGATAAAAGGTTGATGGGTAGGCTCCAGGATGTACATGTTTATAGAGGGGCAACTGATATATCGGATGATTATTTAGTTGTAGCTACAGTTAGAGTAAGAGGTAGATGGGAAAAAGGGAAGGTGGCAACAACAAGTAAGAGGGAGGTGAAAGTGTATAAACTAAGAGAGGAGGAAGTTCGGGCGAGATATAAGCGACTATTGGCAGAAAGGTGGGACTAGTGCAAAGATGAGTAGTGGGGGGGTTGAAGAGGGTTGGAATAGTTTTAAAAATGCAGTATTAGAATGTGGGGCAGAAGTTTGTGGT